AGAGAGAGAGAGAGGCATGCATAAGCCTGTGATGAGGTAGAGGGAGAGGGAGAAGCAGATTCCCCTCTAAGCAGGGAACCCGTCAAGAGGACTCCATCCCAGGACCCCAGGGTCACGACCTGAGCCAAAGGCAGATGCTTGACCCACTGAGCCATCCAGGTTCCCCCTATGCATCTCATCCACCCAGCAGTTTCTGAGTTATATCCTTTTATAATAAACTGCAATTTCATAAGTAAAATGTTACTCCTTTAAGTTCCATGAACCACTCTAGCAAATTAACAGAACCCAAGGAAGGGTTATTGGGACCTGTGGTCTATAGTGGTCAGTCGGAAGCTCAGGGAACAACTAGACTTGCACCTGGCATCTGAAAGGGGAGGGGGTCGTTCCTGCAGAACTGAGCCATTAACCTGAGGGGTCCAATGTGATCTCCAGGAAGACTGTGCCAAAATGAAGTTGAACTATAGGATACTCCAGTGGTGTTGGACAATTGCTTGGGGGTGTAAGGAAACCTGCCTCCCCTGCCACACACACACACACACACACACCCACCACTGGAATTAATATTAGAATCATTTTAACCAGTGACGAGAAAGATTACCAATGGGGAAGGAACTGCCAGTAGAAACACAGGAAGGCTCCAGTTTCCAGAACAATAGAACCAGTCAAAAGCCAGGCCTGGGGTGGAAGACAAAGAAAGGCTGACAAAATCAGGCAGTTAGTTCTGTCAAATCAGTGATGCAGAAAAAAACAAGTGAAGGACCCAAGTGTGGCACAGATTCTAGGTGACACTAAACATTCATTTGGGGAGCTGGGATGCCTTACACATGGCTAGAGAAGAAGAAGCTAAAATTTTGTTGGAGCCAAAGGGAAATGGGAACCAGAGCGATCAGAGCAAATGGGAGAGGATAACACTCAGGATAACGTTTAACTGATTTTCCTTCTGCGAGGTCCTGGGCTTCTCCTCCCAAGAAATTTACAATCTTGCTAAAAACCAACAGATGAATACGAGGACAGATCAAAACGGGGCTGGATGGTACAAGCTAGTCCCTGCTGGATCAGGAGGCAGGCAGTTGAGTTTGGTGGGGAAGATGTAGGAAGGTGTCACAGGGGAGGACCTATCTGAGCTAGAACGCCACAGCAGAGGGTGGTGAAGGAATTTGGAGCTGAGTGAACTGCCTGAGCAGAGTTACAGCAGGGCAGTTAAAGATGGGGCAGTGTCCCTGTAAGACCGCAGCCCTGGAGGATGCATGTGCCATCAGAATGCGGGCAAGGCCTTTCACAAAGCCTTAACCTCTAGACTCTAGCCTTCAAGGAAACATTAAATGTATTGAAAGAGGAGCACCTGGTGGCTCAGTGGTTGAACATCTGCCTTTAGCTCAGGTCATTGATCCTGGGGTCCTAGGATCAAGTCCCTCGTCAGGCTCCCTGCAGGCGGCCTGCTTCTCCCTCTGCCTATGTCTCTGCCTCTCTCTGTGTGTCTCTTATAAATACATAAATAACATCTTTTAAAAAAAAGTGTTGAAAGAGTGGAGAAACATGAGCCACCCTGTGCCATGGCAGCAGCATGATGTTGCTTCTTCAAATTCAGGATCAATCATCTTTAGAGAAAATGCTCCTAGCTCCTAAGAGAGAGACCCCAGAGGCAGCCTGTCTTCTTCCTCTGCCTTTGGTGACTTCTCACGCAATGCCTCAGATTCTGCAGCTGCCTACCTTATTGGCCATCACTTCCCATTCTATCTTGCCTGCTGCTCTTCCAGTTCAAAGTGTGGCTCAGCAGCAGCATCTGGGAACCCACGAGATATGCAGATCTTTGGACCCACCCTGTCACAGACCTACTGACCAGAATCTCTAGGGTGGGGCTCAGGGATCCGTGTTTTATCCAGTCCTCCAGGTAACTCTTGCTAGCCACTGAGAATGGCTGATGGAAAGCCATAGGCATTCTTCACCATTCAGAGCAGATCCCTCTTCTTTTCTCTGGCTATGCTTTCTCCCTGGATGTTATCATCCAACCCCCTGACTTTGAAAATAGCCTATATACTGATAACTTTTAAATGCACATCATCAGCATCATCCTTTCCAAGCCCCAGAATCCTCAAGTTTACCCATCTGGGAGCAACAGAGGCATCTCAGATTCAACACGTCCAAAATGGAAGGAACTTCTCTAAAATCTGTCCCCTCTAACACTTGCTCTTCCTCCATTTTTTTTTTCTAACCATTTCAGATAGAAGTACTTCCTCTGCTACCACACTAGACCACCTACCAGGCTGTGTTTCCACTTTTGCCCCCTCAAGCCCCATGCAACATCCAGAGTGATCTTCTCAGAACTTAAATCAGGCCATGTCATTTCTCTCCAAGGGCTTCCTATCACATTTAATTAAAATCTAAACACCTTGCCATAGGCTCTTAGGCCCTATGTGACTTGATCACTTTCTATGTGGCTTCCTATATTCCCTTTGATGTCTGAGGCCAGAGACTGTAACTATATAATTCACACTAAGTGCTCTATAAATTATTTGTTGAATGAAATACTTCTTTTGCATATAAGTAAACTTTGACTTCCTTAACTTCTCTATATTTGCTGAGAAGGATCTATGTGACATTGACAAATGCCTTCTAGCCAGGACACAGGAGATGGGTGCAAAGGGAGATTCTCAAAGAGTAACTTGACAGTGCTGTGAACTTCAGAATAGCAGGTACCTAGGAGGCCACAAGAGGACGAACCTTAAACTCCACTCTCCACCATTCCCCACCCTTGTTCACAATGGGGTATGATAGTTGTCATGATGGGGGAGGCAATTGTGAATGAGATTGGAATAAGGAATGATGTAGGGCCATTTGCAAATATTCTTCCTGTGGGCTGCCTACCCCTGGTGCCGTTCAGGAGGTCAGTGAAAGCCTCCAAGAATCTATAGGCCAGACCACCAACCCCATGATGGCAGTTTAAAAAAAATGGCCACAAATTCTTTGATACTCCTCTCATTGAGAAGTGGGGTTTATATCCCCTACCCTTGAATCTGGATGGACATATGACTACTTTGGTCAATAGCATACAGTGAAAATGATGTTATGTGATTTCCAAGATTAGGTGGGAAGCAGCTAGGCAGCTTCCATGTTGTTGCTAGAACTCTCATGTTCTAAGAAGCCATGTAAGAAGTCCTTCTAACTTGAGTCCAGCATGCTGGGAGGAAGCCAGGCCACATGGAGAAGCCACCTGTAGGCATTCCAATAGGCACACCTGATCTTCAAGTCTTCCTTCCTCAAGTGCCAGTCATGCAAGTGAAAGAGCCTTCCAGGGATTCCAACCTCCCTCAGACTTAGAGTCTTCCCATCTGAGGCCCCAGACATCATGAGAGAAGTCAAGTCCCCACTGTGCCTGTCTATGTCCCTGGCCTACACATCTATGGGCAAGAAAATGGTGGTGGTTATAAACCACTAAGTTTTATGGGTAGTTGCTACATAGCAATAATAGCCAGATTACACATAAAACAATCACTTTTGGCTCCCTAATCCCCCCAAGAAATCCTCTGCCTTTGAGCCCTCTTCCTCCAGAGAGAACATTTGGCCAATAGACACGGGATCTTTTTGAGAAAGAAAGAAAGAAAAAAAAAAAAGCTAAGTTTTAGGATCTTCTAACCAAGCTTTATAGAGTCCCTCCTCAGGGGGAAGCCAGCCCTTTCCCCAGTCTGATCTGGTCAACTACTCTTGGCTCCAACCCAGCTTAAGACTCAGAGAGATGCCTTACTACCCCCTCCCCCCACCCAGTTCACCTGGCAATAAGCCATCTCCAAGGAAAGAAATTAAGGCTCTCAAAGTACTGTCAACCTAATCATTATGTAAGATTGAATGGATAGAAAACAGCCACAGTACTGCTGCCTAACGTTCCTTCCTAACTGGCCAAAATCCAGTTGTCTGTTACTGAATCACCCCATGGGATAGCGTTTTCCAGACCTATCATTTCCCCTTCCCAGCTGACCTTTCAAGGGCCCACCCACATTCACATAAACATCACCCTGCACTGTTTCACATCCCTCATCTCCCCTTCCTGCCCACTGGTCCCCTCCCACTTGAGTGATCCAGCCTGGAATACAGGTATGTCATCCAGATCCCGTTTCCAATGGGTCTCTTGGTATTTATAAAACCTCTTTTCTGGGGCACCTGGCTGGTTCAGTGGTTAAGCCTCGCCTTTGGCTCAGGTACGATCCCCAGGGTGCTGGGATCCAGTTCCCCAAAGCGCTCCCCAGAGGAGCTTCTCCTGCTTCTATCTCTATGTCTCTGCCTCTCTCTCTGTGTCGCTCATGAATAAATAAAATATTTAAAAGAAATTTTTTAATAAATAAATAAAAGTGCCCCAATTGAAGGTGATAATTTAGATAGTTCCCCAAACCCTAATTCCCATCCTTCTAACACTTCATCTTTGGCTATCCTTCACATAAGACAAAGCTCTACCTAATTCTTAGCAAGAATAATGAGTAAGAATACAGCATTCTGTTTTATACAAGGTACCTCAAGTAACAGGAGTGGACTTGTTAAATGTAGAACATTTCCCCAATCTGTATCAAAATCTAAATCATCTCTCTTGCATAAAATAAGAAATAGAAATTGAATCAATGAAAGAACAGGTGATGGCCAATGTCCCTCCTAGGCCTCAAATGCTAAGAATTTACGTGAAAATTCATTAATTATGGGCTCAATCCAAGATAGCAAGTCTTTTCCTCCTTAGAGATTTCTGGTTACCAAAGTTCCAGAAATTGCCTTCTCATTCCCTAATGTCTCATTTTCTCCATTATGTAACGAGGGAGTTGGGGCTCCGGGCCGAATTTCTTTTTTAAAGATGATTCTACAATCCATGAGCAACGTCAGGGAGTGATGACTCGGAGAGGCGGTCTCGGCCGGCGCTAGTGTTTAAGCGAATCCCAACACCTTTTCCCCCCGCGACTGAGACGCCGGGGCGCGCTCCGCAGGTCGGCACCTTTCCCGGAACCCGCCCGAGCCCGGGAGCGCGCGCCAGGCCGCGTGGTCTCGGGTCCCCGCGCCGACCTCGGCCGGCGAGCGCCGCCGCCTCCCTTCCCCGCCCCCGGCCCTCCTCCTGGGCGGCGCTTGTCGCCAGCCTCCGCGCCAGTCGCTGACAGCTCCAGCCCTGCGAGCTTCTCCTCTCCCCAGAAGGCAGGTAAACAGCCTGGTGGCCTTTCCAGCTCCCGGCGCGGGACGCGGGGCGCGGGGCGGGGGCACCGCGGAGCCCGAGGGCGCGAACCGGGGGCCTTGGGGCCGGGGCGGACCTTGGCCGTGGGGGGGGAGGGGGCTTCCCCGAGGGCGCGTGGCGCGGCCGGCCCGCCCCAGGGTGCGCGTTGGTTTCGGGTGACGCGGCGTGGTTTTGCTTTTCTGGTTGGGATCGGGGGCGAGGGGCGCGGCTGGCCGGCCCCCCTTCCCCCCGGGGAGGGATGGCGTGTGTCACGCTGTCTGATCCTCCCCCACGCGGGTCCGCGGCCGGAGGAGCCAGAGGTGCGCGGACGTGGGGGCGATCGCCCCCCTGGGAAGCCCGGGAGGGCCGCGAACGGCTCCAGGGGGAGGCGCCGGGGGGCCGCCCTCCCGCCGGCGGGCCGAGGTCCGGCTGCCCCGAGGGTGCGCGGAGGACACCGAGGCCTCGGCGAGAGGGGAGTCCCGGGCGCCTGGGGCCTCCTCCGCGGGCGAGGTCCTCCCGAGAGGCGGCCCCGCGGGTCTAGCCGTCTGCGGGGCGGCCCTGGAGCGGGCGGGCGGGCGGCCGTGGGCGGCGCCTCGGGCCTCTGCCGGGTGGGGCCGCTCGGGCCCCGAGTGCCAGCCGCGGGGGACTCATGTCGCCTGCCCCAACATTATTATCTTCATGGCTGCGTATTTTTCTTTCACGTGGAGCATCTCGGTTTAATAAGCAGTTCCCCACGTGCTGAGCATTTTGAGATGCTTCTCTTTTTCTTGGTAAATCTCCAGGTGGAATAGGATTAGAGATTTTTACGAATCAAATTAGCAGAAAAAAATAGGAACAGAAAATTGAGGGGCACTTGGATGGTTCAGTGGTTGAGCATCTGCCTTTGGCTCAGGTCGTGATCCGGGTCCTGGGATGGAGCCCCGCGTGGGGCCCCCTGCAGGGAGCCTGCCTCTCCCTCTGCCTATGTCTCCGCTTCTCTCTCTCTCTCTCTCTCTCTCTCTCTCTCACTCTCTCTCACACACACACACACACACACACACACGGATAAATAAATAAAATATTTTTAAAAAGAAAATGAATAAAAAGATCAGACCTCTGGAAAAATGAACATCCCTCTCAGATGTTAAAAAGAAAGAGAAAAATCACCGGTGGAATGAACAATTTAACATACACAACCACCGAGGAGCTCTTAAAATGAAAAAGAATTAGCTGGAAAGGGAAAGAGAGCAGAGAGCTAGGATGTGATTTGTATCTTAGTTGTATCTGACACATTTTTTTCATACTTGTGAAAGGAAAATGTCAAGATTATAATAGATAAGTGGTGAAATGATGGACCATTCACAGAACAAAATATAGATGAAAGGAAGCCTGAGTTACTTCGCATCTACTAAATGAACAAAAACAGTCACAGTAGTAACAGCAACCCCATAAGAAGTTTGCAATGAGGGGATCCCTGGGTGGCTCAGCGGTTTAGCGCCTACCTTTGGCCCAGGGCGCGATCCTGGAGTCCTGGGATCGAGTCCCGTGTCGGCTCCGGCATGGAGCCTGCTTCTGCCTCCTCCTGTCTCTGCCCCTCTCTATCTCTCTATGTCTATCATAAATAAATAAATCTTTTTAAAAAAAGAAGTTTGCAATGAAACTTACATATTCAGTTATCTGAGGATGTGGCTAGACTTATTAATGGCTCTGCTACTGATTTTGTGACTTTGGACAGGTCACCTTAATTTCCTAATCTTGCTCTTGTACATTTATAAAATAGAGGAAGTGAAATCTGCTTTCAAGTTCGTTGCCAATATTAATTTTACATGAAACTGACCCTTGGTATGTCTACCTTTATTCTTTTCCTATTCATACCCCAACTGGGGACGTCATGAATTATTACACATTTTTTGTAAAACAATCTGGCAGTGTATTAAGTTAAAAGTGGTGACCCAGAAAACCCTACTCCTGGGGATTTACCTGCAATGGAAGAAACAAGCAAACAAAGAAAATAAAAGCCATATGCCAGCACATATTGGTGCAGAATGATCTAAAATTAGAACCAACTGGGAAACAACCAAAATGTACAACAGGGCAGTAGCTCAGAAAATCATGGCATAATAACTGGAAGGAGCATTATGTAACCATCAAAAGTCATGATTTTGGAGCCTCTGGTATATGGGAAAAACTGACAAGTAAATCAAAGTTCAGGTTTCTAAACTATTTACTCAAGCGTGAATGCATATGTGAAAAATCTGAAAGAAAAAGCATAAAAAAAATGGACATTTTAACAGAAGTTAGAGGTGATTTTAATGCCCCTTTTTTTGGTATATTACTTTTACCAAATAATGCAGTTTTTAAAATAGGTCACATATCTCAATCTTTAAAACGATACGGACCCAGTTTCCTCTGTGTCCTGTTTGCTGGTTGGTTTTTTTTCACATGACCTCATTTTTTTTTTCAAATATTGTCTCATTTTTTTTTGAATAGACTTATTAATGGTTTAGTAATTTATATATTAGGTTTTTCTTTTAAGGAATCAGTTCTAAGATTTATTTACCAATTCTAGTTTTTTCTTTGTTGTTGTTTTTAAGGATTCCTGAATATACTTGAAAACTGAATAATTTCAGCCACGCCGAAGCAGTCTGTCTTCTCAGAGACAGAAATCCAGCTCAGCTGAGCCACAACAGATGTATGTACCCTGTGGAATCTCTTTGGTCTTCTAATGGCTGAAAGTCTCCAACTGTCATAGAAAATAAGGGTCTGGAAAGGCTGTGATCACAGGCCCCTGCTCAAGAGGCCACTCAGGTCTATATATGTAACTCCTACCCATTGCATCATCCTTGGAAAATCAGCTTGATTTTTGTAGAGAAAGGGTCACAGCTTTCTCTACAATTATGCTGAATTATGGAAGGAAGCAGCCATTTAAAAAAAATACAGTAAAACAACAATCACATAACAAACATTTCTGCACCAAATTAACACCAAAGGTGACTATCAACCAGCTGACAAAAGGATTTATGAGATGAAAGGTTTTCCAAGCTGTAGTTTTATCTTACCTATTCTATTCTGCCTTTGGGATCTTATTTCTTCTCCTAAGCCAACTGTATCAGCTGTGAACTACTTGTATTAAACATTCACGTTGTCCAGGCATCTAACCCAGTGGTGATGGTGCTGCATTGTAAAATAATCCTTGAATGAATACCATGCTTGGCAGTGCTTACTTACAGCATTATTTTTTTCTTCAATTTGTTAATCCCTTTTTTCGGCTGCGTTCTACTTATTACTGCTAACCTATCGTGCGATCACTGTGCTCTTTCTTGAAAAGCATTATAAATGTGGTTAAGTGTTGTGTTCCTGAGGACCTAGTTCTGAAGCCTGTTTAGGATTTAGGACTGCAATCCCCTGGGAAGCTTTTAATCGATCCCCAAGTCCCATCACTAGATACTCGCAGGCTGTTGGCCTGCAATAGGCTCCAGCAACGTTGTTTTTTAAAGGCTCTTCAGGGATCCCTGGGTGGCTCAGGAGTTTGGCGCCTGCCTTTGGTCCAGGGCATGATCCTGGAGTTCTGGGATCGAGTCCCATGTCAGGCACCCTGCATGGACCCTGCTTCTCCCTCTGCCTGGGGTCTCTGCCTCTCTCTCTCTCTCTCTCTCTCTCTCTCTCTCATAAAAAATAATAATAATAAAAAATAAAAAAATAAAATAAAATAAAATAAAATAAAATAAAATAAAAAAGGCTCTTCAGGTAATTCTGATGACAGACCAGGCTGGGGTTCCTTTGCCTTATTCAATCCAGGCCTGGGTCTCAGGGTACCAATGCAGCCCTACATCTCAGAATGTTTTGCAAAATTTTGTATCGCTTGCATCGGATTCTTTAAGGAGCAGTGTCCTCAAAAAGATTTAAATAAATAAATGAAGGTTCTACTTAGCCCTGGAAAGAGAAGGGATTTTCCTGGGGACTATGGAGAGTGGGAGAAGCCATTTGGTGCCCCTTCCCAATTTAACCAATTATGTTTCAAGTTTTAACATGTTCTAAGTACTAGAAGTTTGGCCCATGGCACATGACCATTAGGCTAGTTCCTACCAGCTCTGACTCTCTTATCTCCATCCATAAATGAGAATAGGATGAATTGGGGTAATCTATGGATCTTCTTTCAGGTTCCATTTCTCTGTCATTTGTTCATGCACCAGTGCCACGTGATCTTTACAATGCCACATGGAGCTTTATAATATATCCTAATACCTGGCAGGCCAGGCAGGCCCTAGGATTTCTTCCTGTTCAGTGATTTTTTTTTCTGACTTTTTAATTTTGAGTATCACATCATCATGTTCTTTAAAATCCCCTTTGAATTCTGATTGAAATTGTGTTGACTTGATGGATTATTTGAAGATAAATTGGCATCTTTCAATATTGGTTTTCCCAACCAAAAACATTGTATGGCTTGGGTTTTCTGGGATTTGTTTTTCCCCCTAGTCTTCCTTTACATCTCCAGTAAAAATTTTTTAGCTTTCCTCATACAAGTCTTATTTAACCTAAAGTTAAATCTTAGATACTGTAAAAATGTGTTACTGTCATTGTGGATGGAATGGCAATATAGAACATTATAGATGGAATGTTTCATCTGTGCTAAATCTTCTCACTAATTACAATTAATTTGGGTACTCACTGGTTTTTTGCATATTGATTTCAAAAACTGCCACCCAAATGAGCTCACTTCTTTATTTTAAGACATTTTGGGCTGATTTTCCAAATACAAGACTGTACCTGGCTGGCACTTCCATAACAATGTAAAATAACAGTGCCTACTTGCATTTTTGTCTTGTTCACTACACTGAGATGTCTTTCGTTTTTCCTTTAAGGTGAGGTATAGGCTGAGTATTTGTGGTGGGTGGCAATTCTTGATGGAAAGGGACTGTCTTCTAGTTCTATAGAAACTTTAACAGCTTAAGCTTAAGAAATCAAGAATGGAGGTTGATGTTAATTGAAAACTTTTCAGTATCTGCAGAGAATCCTATGGTTTTGTCTTCTTCACCTGTTAATAGATTTCCTAATTTTGAGCCATCCTCACATTCCTAAAATAACCCTTACTGGTCACAGCGTATTCTTCTTTTGATACATTGTTAAAATCAGTTTGGCAGTATTTTCTTTTGGGTTTTGGCATCCATAGTGGTAGAGGCTGGGTGAACTAGGGGCGCAAACCCTGCACTTGAACTGCTGAGGTTTCAATCTCGTCCCTTTGCCCCTTGGCTGTAGACAGTGCTTCTCAGCTCAAGATGCCCTAACATTTATCTCTGCGGAGTTCCAGATTCTTCAAACAATTGCTTAAATTGATACTTCTATTTGAACGTCTCATAGATGTAGCCAAGTTACATCTATACCACAGCTCCCAGTTTTCTCCCCAAGCAGAGCTCTTTACCTGTCTTCCCGGTTTCAGGAGATGGCATCACCCACCCAAGCTAAATATCTTTTAGTCACTGTCATGTCCCCAGCCACTAGCACAATGCTAGAACCTTAGAGGACACTTAAATATTTGTTGAATGAATCACTAAGTTATGGTACTATAAGTATTACATTGTAATATGTAATTTTGGACAATTTTTTCCTCCATTTCTTTTATGGTTGTTGGTCAACTCAAATTTTCTATGTATTTAAAAATTGGGACATACTAGTTGTTCCATAAATATTTGTTGACTTAATTAATTCTGGTCAATATTTATTATTTATGTTTTAACAGAAAAGCAGCCCACCCCACATCGATATTTTAATTCAAAAAATGCATTTGCATTTGGAAGGTTGTTACTCTTTTAAAGCCTTCTCTTTCTAAGGTTATTTGGCCTCTCCCATTCCCCATGTGGAGCTATGTAGTGGAGTGTGTTTGTGTGTGTATTGCATTTTCAGGTCACTCGATTTCATTTAGAAATTCCTCATTTTTCTGGGTTTTATTTATTAAGTTCTGCTTTCATGTCTCTTATTTATTTATAACTATGATGCTTTATCTGGAAATTCTCTCTTCTGTTTTCTTTCTTTTTGAGTTGAATAATCATTTATCTTCATTCTTTCTGTTCAGTTACACCACCCACACTCATTGGATGTTTACATGGGTTCCTTTATCCCCACACCTGCTTCTTGCATCATCATCTCTCCCGTGCATTAGGTTTGGTTTGGCTATTTTTTTCTTTCTGGCTAAACTGATCATTATAAGTGATATATCATTTGGCCAGGGTCCCATTTTATCTGATTCTTAATGATTTTGAATATATTTTCAAGCCTTTTGGCTTTCCTCTTCTGCAAATTACCAGTTTTTATATCTTTTGGCCCTTTTGTCTATTGGAATTACTGCTCTTACTGTTTTACAAGAATTCCTTGTAGGTTCTAGAAATGAATCCTCTGTTGGTCATAAATACTACAAATATTTTTTTTACCATTATGCACTCCTCTTAACTTTGTCCATAGTGTTCTTCAAAGCATTAACAGCATTAAACAAGAATCCTTAACTTTCACGTCATAAAATTCTTATTTGCCATTTGATTTGTGCTTTCTGTTTAAAAAGTCCTCCCTCCAGACCTTCCCCAGGTCACACAGACATTCACCTGTAGTTTCTTCTTACAACGTGCTTTTACCTTTCTCAGGTCTGTATTCTATCCTGAGTCTGCTTTTGGTGGTCTTGCATGTGGTGTTAGGGATCTAGTTTTATTTTTCTTCAGTTTCCAGAAGCATCTGCTAAACAGCGTTCCTTTCTCCATCGATTTGTGATGCCTGCTTTATTGTATATCAAGTCCTTGCTAAAGTATATATACAAAGGCTTATCTCTGAATGTACCCTTCTGCTCTCATTGGCCTGTTGGTCTGTTCCTAGGCTTTCACTATGTAGTCTTTATTGCTCTGGCTTTGTAGTCAGATTTAATGTCTGATACAATAGATTCCTTCTTTTCTGTTCCTTTTTAAAGTTGAGTTTGCTATTCATGGACATTTCTTTCACCTTGTAGGTTATTGAACTCCTCCTCAAAAAAACCCAGGTGGACTTTGCATTGGCATTTTATTGAAATTATAGGTTTATTTGGGGGTAATTGACAGACATCTTTCTAAGTCATCCCAGTCAAAGCCATGGAATACCTTTCCATTTTTACAGATCATCTTCAATGTTCTTTATTGGAATTTAAAAACTTTTGCCCCAGTCTTATTTTTTCTCAGTTAAGTCAGTTCCTGGATACTTTACAGTTTGGTTTGCTATTGTGATTATCTTATTTCTTAAATTTTTTTTCTAGTTGATTATTGCTGGTGTAGAGAAACGCTGTTTATGTAGGCCAGTCTTGTGTCCCATAGCCTTGCTGAATCTCTAGTACTGGGTCTCATGTCATCTCTGATGAGCCTGTTGGATTTTCTGTTTATGATCACTTTAATTGCAAATAATGATGGCTAGCTCTTTTCTTGAAGTTCTTGCCCTGGTTACTTCTTTGTCTCTGCCTATGGCATTGGACAGGACCTCCAGTCCTGTGACGATGGACATCCTTGCCTTATTTCTGATCTTAGAAACCTCTAAGAAACATCTTAGAAACATCCACCTAGTATCTTTGCTGATTTTGTTATATAACCTTTATCAAATTAGGGGAGTTTTCTCCTATTCCTAGTCTGCTAAGAATATTTTTCATTTTCTTTTTTCTTTTTTTTTTTTCTAAGTATTAGGTATTGA